TAGATTCTAAAACTGTTATAATTTAACCAATATGGTTAGTATAGACAATTCGATGTAAGCATACGTCGTGGGATCATCATAACACTTCATTTGGCACTGGGACGTTTACATAAGAAAAAGGCCTAGAAACATCGGACGTAAACGTATATTATATGATATTTTTCAAGGGAAACCACTAGTCTTAATAATGTGGATATAAAAGCAAAAATAGTGATCATTAGCAGAAATAATTCTACTACTTGATTACAAGTTAATAAAAACTCAACCATAGGTTTTTGACATATATGTTGACCCCAATTGGCACGCTTATGAAATTCGAAACGTGGGCTGTATTTTTGCATGCCCGCTGTGCTAGTATATTGCGTAATATTTAAATGAGTTTTCGCTCCAGTTATCACTAAAAAGATCAATAAGCCCTGCGGGCTGTTTAAAAACGCAGTCTTGATTTGATTTCTTTCAAAATTTAAGCCTGGATGCTGTCTATTGTATAAATACTAAAACAGTATCTACTACTATTTTTGATATTACGAGTATGTTGGTTATCGCTTTAATTTATTCTTCAACATGTATTGTATACTAACTTCAGTATGAATGAAATGTCCCTATGGTGTTGCGATCTCGGACTGTGATGATTGTAATTTGAAGGTGGTTGGAGATATCCTTCATTCAACGGACTTTATTTATTCCTCAATGGAAAGAAATGAAATACATCTGGAATAAGGTTGGGTTGACTTTGCTTCTTTTCATGTCAGATCATGATTTGGGATACATTGTAGTAGGGTTTGTTTTCCTTATGACCGGTGTATTGGCGGTGTATTCTAAGATGTTTTCTTTTTCGCTATGCTAAGAAGATCAATCATATTTAGGAATTAAAGGCAAGAGTTGTTAATAGACTTATGAACAAAAACGCACTTCATCCAACATGTGTTAAGGGATGGGATAATTATATCACGAGAAGCGACATCGATGGAAAAATACACAGAAGCATTTCTGTCTGGAAAAAACAGCTTCTTAGTCAATTCTCATATAATATGTACCCATCTCTTTCATATTTGTGCAACTTGACAGTGATACCCTAAGCCTGAGGCTTTCAATAAATTTAATTAAACAGTTGCTAAGAAAACACTTGTCAAAAGCGATTCATTTTTTGGGACACCCTATATATTGCCATTGAAAGCTGTTAAAAATACATAAACAGTTTACTCCAAACCGTTAGAATACAGTTAAAGCCTGTCCGCCCAAAAATTATGAGTAATTCAAGATGCAAAGTTGTTGACCAACAGTGACCAGTGACCTTCTTGTTCGAACATATCTAAGAAAGTCGTAAAAATATCGTAAAAAGTCGTAATTACATCAAATTCATTTTATCGAAGTAGATAACCTAGGAAACTTGGCATCCTTGTTATGACAACTCCAAATTACATAGCTGAAGCGAAATCCAAGAAAATAATAAGAGGTATCGACCATATCATATTCAAATTTCAGTAAATTACAACCCTAATATGAAACGAAATCAAATAAACTGTCAGTTGCAGAAACATCTGATTGGTAATGTTTGGCCTCAAAGCCACTCGATTCACAATAATCCGTTGATGAGTACGTTCGGACACTAAATTCAGTAACATTCCTTTTTAGTATAGGGAATTGAATTTCCGAACGTAAAAGTAATTTCGAACGATAATCATTTGTCAATGAAATTACATGCGGCATAGAATCTTAAAGGAGGTCTTTTTAACCTAGTTTAATCGACATACTTATTCTCAGTCAGATAAAATAAACTCTACCTAGTACTTCTTGATGAGCAACTGTAGTGCCACTCTCTTTTACTGGTAGGTGAAATTCTTACTAACCGTAGAAAGATCAAAATCAAATCAATAAGTACCAGCAGCAACGGGGTTGTTATGTGATGACAGTACACATCCATAAGTACCAGCAGAAACGGGGTTGTTATGTGATGACAGTATACATCCATAATTACCAGCAGAAAAGGGGTTGTTATGTGATGACAGTATACATCCATAAGTACCAGCAGAAACGGGGTTGTTATGTGATGACAGTATACATCAATAAGTACCAGCAGAAACGGGGTTGTTATGTGATGACAGTATACATCCATAAGTACCAGCAGAAACGGGGTTGTTATGTGATGACAGTATACATCCATAAGTACCAGCAGAAAAGGGGTTGTTATGTGATGACAGTACACATCCATAAGTACCAGCAGAAACGGGGTTGTTATGTGATGACAGTATACATCCATAAGTACCAGCAGAAAAGGGGTTGTTATGTGATGACAGTATACATCCATAAGTACCAGCAGAAACGGGGTTGTTATGTGATGACACTAGCCATCCATAAGTACCAGCAGAAACCTGAAAATAGAGTTGAGTAACCAGTATCAGAAGAGAAATACGAATTGAAGGAATTATTTCTCGGAACTAAAATAATTCAAATGTAAAACCGATTTATAAATTAGACGGAGCCCGTGCTACTCAACTTCAGAAAAAACAAAAAGCCTTAAGGCTATTTCTTTTGATGCTTATCAAATACTTCAAGGAAATCACACTATTACTATTCTAATAATAGAAAATATTAATCTGAATCCATTCTGTGTGAATTAATTTTTACCGCGAATTCGTATTTTTATATACACACGATTAATTTAAGTAAATGATACCACCTCTGTAAATTATAAATACCGACCAAAGAAATATCGGGTATCAGAATTAGAATTACGCTGCAGAAATAAATCCATATGGAACTCACGAAAATGACTGAGAAACGCATTAGTTATTATGATGAAGCTTAGAGTTTTGATAAAAATGCACTCTGAGAATTCTAAATCAAGCGAACGAAAAGTTTCTCAAATATCATAGTTATGGAAATGAAAATAGGCAGTTGAATAACAGAAGTAGGAAACAGGTAACAGGTGACAGGTGACTACACTCTCAAATAATGAGTTAATTTTTTCCCAGCAAGTCAAGGAAATTAATAAATGATAGTCACGCTGCTCATCTCGTAGCTGTTTTTACGTTAAATTCCGAAATGTACAGACGGACGGTTTACAGAATCATAAAATGATAATGATAGGAATAAAAAATCACTTTTCTATTAGCCAATTATTTTCAGTTGACAAATGATTTTTAGTGACACCTTCTGAAGTTCTAATAATAACTAGTCCTTATCGATAAATTTGGATTAAGACATATCGCAAATGACAAAACCTTCTTCGTGAAAATATCTTTTGATTCTAATTCTCGAAATCGTTGTTCCCTCTTCAAAAGAAAAGACGCGAAAATCTTTCCTTATAAGGGCAAAATATTTCCCATGATGCAGTTCGCGGAGGAACAAATTTATACTTCCTTATTTTCCCTCATAGGTTTAACAAGGGGATTTTCACACCTATTTTTCAAACGATATATTCGTTCATATTCCCGTACGAGAGTACAGAAAAAATTATTAGAAACGATTGATCTCTCATTAATCTTAATATAACAGCTATTTTTTTCATTGTATTAATTCATAGCGTGGCGAAAACGATGATTGAAAAGTGAGAAAATATTCCGGAAGAGAAGGTCACGTGATCAGTAGACTAGTCGCCATATTGGAAAAACAATTCCATTCGACTTTCAATACTTTCATGCCAATCTTACCGCACTACAAACTGCGACATCGATGCAACAACTGAATAAAAGTATTCATCTTCAAATTACATTATAGAGTTACGTTGAAAACCCACAAACAACTGAGCAGTAGACCAAAGAAGACGCGTCGCTATTATCTAGGTCAATCTGTTCAGTGGTCCGAAAGCAAATCTATAGTACTCGTTTCCGAATTTTGTTGTTCATTGTACAATCTTTTATTGATTAAACTCGGTATACTGGCTATTAAAGCAATGACAAAGAAGAATACTTACGATGGTGTCATTGTTTTATTTAGCGTGCGGGTGTGAAAACAAAATTGAGTAATTAGTTTGATTTAGAACTTTCGTGTCACGCAAATAGCTACGCGAAATGTATAGTGGGAAAATATTGACCAATCAAATTTTGTCCTTTTTGAGTGCTTTTTCAGTGCATATTTGCGAACGTTCTGATTCAAAGAGCGAACCGCGAAAAGGAGAATTGCTTATGCCTTGGTCACATTTGCTCCGTTCAATCGCCCCGGCCGATTTCAAAATAAATCGGGGCAAATGTGACCAAGGCATTATGAACTGATCAATCCTGCCATCGACTAAATTTGGAAGAATTATTTAAGCTGATCAAGAATTGACGATCTATCATGGGTACAACTGCAAGAACCTAGATGCTACAGTATGTAGGTTTTATACTATACTCATAACATTGATGTTCCTTATCTGTAAGGCTGGATAAAGCGGTACTGCAAACGACAACACTTGCTTTCATTTTTACATCATCCATCATTTTCTAACATACCAAGACCACATTACAATGGTTCAAACGATTGGTTTGGTTTTTATTTGCATTTGATTAACAACTATTTGAGTACACCATCGTTAGCTTACAGGATGTCTTTTAGCACCTTGTATTACAATGTTTACAATGGGCTCGATAATTTCAATACAAAACCAGGCGATAATTCAATCAATCACTCATAACGTTTCCCCCTGCTTGGACTCAGCTAAAGTAATTTAACAGTTTATCCGAAAAACAGGTAAAACAATAAAGTGCATTATAGGGAAATCTATAGTATAGTTTTTGGTAATACATAATTGTAATCCTGGATATCACGATTCTAATTTGAAAAATATTATTGAGTGTCATACTGAAATCCATCTAAATTACAACGCGTATCTGGAACGAAATCAAATAAACTGACAATTATAAATGAAGCGTTTGACCACTTGATACGGCCGGATGTTCAGCTAAAACTAATAATATAACTGCAATAATCGGATAATAAAATCTTTTTTCGGACACTGGGACACTATATTTTGAAATTGAGTAACTGATTTTCTATGAAGATTGAAGATGACAGGAGAAGAAATATGACAGATAATTAAGAAAGGTAAGTCCACAACGTCAATGCGTTTGAATACAGTTAAACAATACATAGAAATGCGCAGTTTCGAAGTGCCATTTTTTGTGAGGTGAGGCACTAAAGGAAGACAATGGTACAGAAAGATAAATTAGCGATGATTATTTATCGAACGTCGGAATACATGGAAGAGTAAAGAAAAAGAGGTTTGAAATGCCTAAATAAAAACATCTCTTATACATAAAATGTGCATATCTGTTTTCTGAATACTGTCAATACACTATGGGATGAACACAATTTTGGGTGCGTCATACCTTGGTCTAATGACCCTCCGAGCTTCAATGGAAGGTTACAATAAATGGACGCGTGAAAACATCACAAACGACGTGAGAAAGCCCTGAAATACAAGGTCAACGGGTACCATATTAAGCGGTTTGAATTGCTTGCTATCTTTAAAATGATCATCATGTTTATTATTCAGCATTGGTTCATCTATAATTTCAAACTCTCCAATCTGTTTGCCGTAGATCAAATGTGATAGATATGTTTTAGTACCAGACAGACATTTCTATGGTCTGTCTTTCATCGTTTAAGTTTTGATCATTCAGATTTATGTTATGTTTATGTCTATTAAACGCGTTCGGCTAGATACGCTTCGCACTTTCATAAAGTAAATCTTAAAAAGTTTCGGCATTCACAGATGTGTTACATCATTATGGTGCAATGTACAATGCAATGTAAACTTAGATATTCTACAAAAGTTGTAACTCTTTTTATATATAAGCAAGGAGAAATGAAGCTTTGTAGTTTTTTTTCGTACGGATCGAGTGATATAAACAAGATTCATCAATCGCTGTGAGGCGAACTAAATATTTAGAGAAACTCGGTCAGTCCAGGCATTCGTACAAAATTCTCATAGTGAACCGAATATCATTATACAGAACACATACACAGTACAAACAATTACTATTTTGCCTTGTTTAATGTTTTGTTAACTATTATTCACAAAGAACATGCAAAAACAGTTCCTCAAAAGCAAAGTGTACTTAGGATATTAGCTTTATCAAGTCTATTCGGAGTAAAGTGAGAAACCAATAAATCATATCACAATTTTTATACAATATTAATAAATATGTAACAATGCGAGAAGATAAGAAATTTATAAGTTATGAAACTATCACGCATATTCCCTTACACTTTGGGCGACAAATGATTACGCAAGCGGTATCAGAGCGTAAATTACTAGAATACGTAAATGAATGTAACAGAAATGATTTCTTATGTACGGGTATTCTACTTAACTTTTAGTGAGATAGAAGAGTTCTTACATATCATTCCAGAGGAGGTTAAGGAAATGAAGATGGATACTCGTAACTTTATATTAAGATCATAAAGGTATTTATGTTTTTATATTTAAATATGTGTCATTTTGAAATATTAAACAAGAATATAGGTAGGTATTTCTATTCAAAACCATGGCTATTGTATTTAAAAGGATTTTGCGTGCAGAGTCTAGTCATAAACTACGAAGACGAAGCTCTCTTTTAAGAAGTGAAGTCGAACGAATGCAAAGGGTAAAGGATTACTATACGTAACGTGGAATAGCTCAAGAACACATTCGTGTCATTTGAATTAACTATATGAAGGAATTTGGATTTAGGTCTGAAGAAAGCTAAAATATAGGTTTTAAGGAGACACACTTTTATGTTTCACATTTTAAATGACTTGGAACTATTTCTATACTGTGACACTGAATCTGTTTTCATACACGCATATTGTTTTCCCACTTCACGAAAGGTGATAACTTTTCTCAACAGTTACAATTACTCCTAGATACTTTTTGCATCGGTGATTTAGATTACATGTTGGTCGATCTATTAATTAAAGTTGTAAAATCTCAAATCTTTGTACATTGTACGCATCTCCGCACGCTCGGTTTTTGTTGCCGGCCGGCTGGAGTCGAGCGAACAATGATGTATACGTATACATAAGGTCTTCATTGATATGCCAGACGTCCAGCTAATGATCCAGATGAATACAATATAATCGGAATGACAACAATGAGGGTGAAGTCCTGAGCTTTACCGAGATGATAAATCATCAATTTATTCCAGAATGTTTGTTCAAATTGAAGTAGATAAAACTCTAAAAGTCAGCGAGAGCTCGTAAATTGATTCCGCTTCAAGACAAATAGTGCAAAAATTGGGAAGTGATCATTAATTTGACATCAAATAACTTAAGTTATGTTTCAGTAATTGAGTGGCTGGTTTAAAGTGATTTTCTGTTCTTTGTTTCTGAAAGCTTATAATGCTTAAATCAGCCTGGAGAATATTTTACACTAATTTATAATTTGATATTAAGTATTAAACCAAGGAAAATGTATGATATGAAAAACTATCATGTTAGTAATAATGATATTCCGACGCTTAAATATCATTGAATCATAAATTCACGAACGCTTAATCCCCGAAGCATAGAATTAAATCATGAAAACTCATTTTGTATTTTCAGAGCTAGAGGAGGGATTAAGGGCCCGAGAGATTGGTGAGACAAAACAGAACCAGGTCGAGCACATACTTAAAGGGGTCAACAATTCAATACTTCAAGATTCTTTTTGTATAATGCGTTAATGGAGTCGCATGCAGGTCGTGAGAGTGTTGGGAGTATAAGCAATAAATCAGAATATAGTTTTGTAGAAACAAATAATACAAATGCAGCCATGTTTGACACATCTGTGTATTACGATTCGAAAGACACTACATTAGGAAACGTCACTGGTTCTTTTAATAGGTCAACATCATCAGAAACAGAGTCTTATGTTGCCCATATCACAAAATGGATGTCAAGTTTAGAAACAACGCCAGTTGGAAATATTACAGATATTTCCCATGAGGAATATATCGAGGATGAAGTAACTTTAAACATGTATAGGATTATAGGTCCTTTGATCATAGGATTCGGGACGTTTGGAAATATACTGTCAATCGCTACATTGTGTCAGCGACACATGCGCAATTCGACTTCCTGTTTGTATTTGATCGCTGTTGCTGTTGCCGACATCTTTGTTTTATGGACAGGACTTATGTATCGCGTTCTGTTGAACATTGCAGAAATTGATTTAGCGAAGACTGGGGATATTGCTTGTAAATTAAGGATGTTTACTTTGTATTTCTGTCCAATGCTATCCACGTGGTACCTGGTAGCTGTAACTGCGGACAGGGCCGTCTGCGTTTGTCTACCATTAAGGTCAAAGCGATTGTCAACGAGGAGAAAAGCGATGCTCGTGATAGTAATTATATTCTTGATAATGTCATCCTTGAATTTGCATTTCTTTTGGACGTATACAAGGGTGACCGAGGATTGTGTTTGTGATACGGCCAACACTCAGTCCAAAGTATTCATAGAGCTGGTATGGCCATGGGTAGACTTGGTAGTTACAGTCGGGATACCTTTTGTAACACTGATAACCTGTAATTGTTTAATCATATTCAAGGTGGTGCGCAACTCGAGATTTAGGAGATCGCACATGAATGTCAAACGATCTAAAGATAACACTAACTCTATGACAATCATGCTACTTACTGCTAGCTTTTCATTCCTAATTCTTACAACACCCGTTCAAGTATTTTTCATAGGTCTCCCACAATGGATACATACCTCATTTGCAACGTCACATGGTAAGGCTGTAAAGAGGTTAGTTCTGGCGACGCTATCGTTACTTTTCTGGTGCAACAACGCTATCAACTTCGTATTATATTGCGTTAGCGGGCGTCGTTTCAGACGGGAGTTTTTCGCCATTTTTAGATGTCGACAAAGATCTGTTCCATCGTATAATTCATCGTCCAAGGGATCGAACAATAACAATGGAGGATTGGGAGGGGTGTCAACAGGAACTGTAACCACCTCGTTGGCATCCAGAGGGAGTTCACTTATGAGACGAGCGTCTAATGCAAGTGTGGTAAATAATACAATTCTGTGAGACACAGGTGTCATGAATGAAATGCTTAGCAGTGTACCCTTCCTCGTATAGTTGCGGACTTAATGTTAACGTTTTTTGAGGGTATCCATCTTTTAATGGTAAACATATCGTTAGCAACTTCAGTCAGGTAACCAGGGTAACGAATATCATCTAAGTAGAACACCGTGGAAATTGCATAAATGATGTTCGCATATAAATACAATACCCACGAATATTTCACCCCGATTGTCAAACTATATAGTGTAGGTAGATGTTATTAGTGCAAGTTCCAGATATTAAATCTTACAATGAGATCAACATTACACGTTTCATCATCCATAGACACATTTATGGCGTTAATGAACGTTACTTGATCAATATGCAAATGTTTGTATAAATTAAAGATATGTTTATCGATTAGATAGTAGCTAAGAAAACTCACCGATTAATGTAAATTTCAACTCATTCGATAATAAAAGCTGAATGTACTAGATATTATTTTGTTGGGTTTATTAATTGTTACGGCCCTTAACCTAAAGACCGAAGGATATGTCACCCAGCTGGACATTATCATCTATTTCTGTAACGGAATGAATGAAGATTCAATTTCGTTGAGTTAATATTATTACATTGGCACTTTCATTTCATTTATCAATAAAAATAGTATATGTTTAGTTATCTCATATTATTTGTTTTCCAAGGAGACCTACCGAAATTTTTAGAATGTGATTTCAAAAATAGAGTTACGTGACTGGGTCGCACTGTACAAGTTCAAATCAGAATGGACTATACTCAAAACCGAGTAAAACCCCCAAATGGCAAAATATTAAAAAATACACGTAATATTCCAATTTTCTTTCGCTAAAATGTATTTAACTCCTCGTTTGCTGAAATAATCTCTCGTAGCTGGCAGATATTTCGATTATTGCACTGTCGTAAATAAGTCATTAACATACATAAACTATGATTAAATAACATATTAAATTTATCTTAAGAAACCAGCCTTTGATTAAAAAACTATATTCTTTCATATGAAATCAAGGGATGCAGCACATGTTTGAATAATTGCTCTGAAATGATACGTTCTTCAATTAATATTTGCCACCTGCGTAGTAAGCTGGGCATGGGTTATAAAGAAATATAAACAACGCATTAAGAAATTAAAATAAATCTGTTGTGCGTCTAAAAAATTGTTTTGTAATTGGAAAAATGTTCATTTAAATCTGAAAATCAATTTATGAATAATTAACAAACAGATTAATGAAATCAACAAACTTGGACATCAGTTTATCATGAAGCTCTCTGAATTGCACATTTTCAGTTATAAACGATTTGGCTAAACGTTGATTAAAGATTTCATTCGAAAATAAAGGTGTCGAATAAAATAAACAACGGCATCAAAATATGGTAAGTACTGTGAAAAGAAAACAAATCACCGATACATCATGGACATAGCATTTATATTTGTAACATTTTTGATTGGGACAGTCAACTCAGTATGTCCCCCCGACAGTTGCCCAGTGGGACAATGGACTCAGTGGAGCACTTGCTCGAGTGGCTGCGACGGAAATCAAACAAGGTCACGAAGTCGCGATATCTTAGATCAACTTAGGTGTCCTAGAGACTGCAACGTAGATACCGTTGAAACTCAGAAATGTGAAACTTCGGGGAATAAATGCTGCCCTGTAAATTGCGATTACTCGCCATGGTCCGACTGGGATGTCGGTTGTTATTGGAGCGACGAGGGTGATCCTCTTTGTGCCAAATATGGCGGGAAATCCAGAAAGATCTGTAGCAGAACCCGGATCATGGTTACAGATCCATCTTGCGGTGGACATTGTGACTACCTGACCATTGAAACAGATTGTTTTGATAGTCTACAGTGTAGTAAAGATTGCAAAGTTACTGAGTGGTCTCCCTGGGGAGGATGTTTTGGACTCTGCGATGGAATGGGCACAATGAACAGGACACGGTCAATCACCCAATCACCAAGCTGCGGGGGTAAATGGTGTCCCGATATTATCCAATTCAAAAGGTGCAAAACGGGTTCATGTTCAATGATTGATGTTGAAGGTAGGTAATTCCATATTTGCGCGTTAGTTTGCACGACAGGTGAAAACAGCTCTTCAGACGCACGTTAGGGTGGGATAAAAACGAAATGCAAAAGTACTCAAATTAAGCTCTTCTTCTTGATTTGATTTAGAAATTTAGTTACCCATGACCCAGTCAAAGTTTTGTGATTTTCTTCTTGATGTTTGCGTTTTTAAAAATGATTTGCCACCATCCATCTTTTAGTGACATTCCCTTTATTTGGGTCTGTATCGAAGGGCGCGTGTGGTCGTGAGTGATCAAACTCATTGTATCTTACAATAGATCTTCAATATATCTACTTCAAGAGTTATAAAAAAGCATTCAAAAAATTGCTATCATTACATTTTTAGTATTTGCTCCGACATTTTTACGACAGGGTCTTGGAGCGAGTGGAGTACATGCAACACAACGTGCGGGGTGGGAATAAGTACAAGGGCAAGGGCCCGCCTTTCTGGCTCATGTAGCAACGCTACATCTTGCAATACTACTACAGAAGAAGAAAGTGTTCCATGCTCTGCGTATACCCCGGACAATTGTGATTATTTGAAGTCAGTGAGTATTATATCTCCGTCCCATATAAAATACAACGTTTCATATTTAGGTTGGACTTATCCTAATGAATTTCGGGCATGTTGTAGGCGTTTACTATTAATTGGCGAAAATAATTGATATCTGCCTACCCCAAGTCTCCAATCCATCTTTATCCAATTTAAAATGTGCCTCCAACCTGGGAATGTGGACAAAAAGTACTGTTATTATTTCACTCATATTCGAGAAATTCAAGCAGTTTACTTAAGAACGTGGTCGTTGATCCTGTAATTTATTAATTTATGTAATATGTATATCCTATAACTATTTAGTAAGGCTAAACCCGTGGAAAAACTAGTCTAGGCCAGGGTAGATAACCTTAAAGGCAAAATTTAACAAGTCTAAAATCTATTGTCATTGCTATTGAACCCATAGTGAAAACAATGCATTAAGAAGTCCAGTAGTTGAGGGAGTTAGTAGACAAAAAAGATCACTCCAATTTTTATTTTCCCTGTTATCTCTTTCATAAACATTTCCTCAAAATACAGATAGGAGAATGGCAGCCATGGGGACCTTGCTTTCCTCATAATGGGAAATGTGGAATTGGTGAACAAGCACGCAAGCGAAGTTTCTCAAATCAAACAGTTTGCAATGACAGTGAATGTCCATCCCTTACAAAGAAAAGGACATGTGATGCAGGTTGTTGCGCGGATGAATGTGTGACGTCAGATTGGAGTGATTGGGACACTTGTTCATCCTCATGTGGAAGAGGCCAAAGGTAAATCTAAAAATATATTTTACTATATACAGTGTATATATAACTTCCCAATCCAAGATCATGTCTTCTGTTTTGTTGATGTTTTAAATGAACGATGTTCTTTTAGAATGCGAACAAAAACAATCATTGAGCCGGTTGAAGATTGCCTTGGGATTGAGAGTAACTGTCCGTCTGTGGACGACCTTTTCGAAGTGGAGAGCTGTGTGACGAACTCATCCACATGTGAATTTACCACATGGGGAGAATGGTCGATATGCAGTACAAACTGTGGATTTGGACAGAAAGGACGATCCAGGCTCGCTCTTACACCTACTCAATGCAACAGCAGCTGCAGAGACCAGAACCTTGTTGAATTTGATACCTGTTATAGCAACTCATCCTTAACAAATTGCCAGGTAATATGCAAATGAAATAATGATATCGTTCAGGTGTGGTAATGCCATAAACATATTAAGCATATATCGTTTAATATATTCATAACGCATTGAAATTCGATACCAGACGGTTACTGACCTTGTCGGGTGGGTGGATACATTTCATTCATACATGATAATAACAAATTAAAGTCTTCCCGCTAACTATTGCATATGACATGTATGATGCAATTCAGAGATGTTCTCAGCGAGATGCAACTGGTTTATTTAGATGACAGCAGTAGCAATATCCGTGAAATATGATTCGGGAATTACGGTTCCTAGGTTTACCTGTCTTTATTTTTGGTTGATGTTTTTCTAGTTCTTCTCTTCTCGGTATGATTGTGTGACTATAATTTACAAATGAAAATTAACGTATATACTGTCATACAACAGACCTTTCCATATTTTGATTATAGATATTGAAAATATAATAATTTATAGGTCTAAGTTTGTATTTTCTTATCCTTTTTTACGTGTATTTGATGATGTCTTGGAAGATCGCTGGAAATAGACTTAGTCAATATCTTTAAGGTTGGTTTATGGTCTGAATGGTCCAACTGTGTCAACAATTGTAACGGCGGAATACAAACAAGACTAAGAAATATCATCAAGCAAGCCAAATGTGGAGGAAGCAAGGAAAACTGCAGCAACACCATTGTAAGATGGACCTTGTTTTTGACCTTAAAATAACTTCGTCGATAGTGCAGTAGTTTTTTATAATTGAAAAACAAAATCAGCCTGTTTATTTTCAACAGTATCATTACATTCACATCTATATGGTGTTTTTCTATCTGCATCCATGTTGCAATGTAATGCAACAATAGAAATGTACATCAATCCATAGAAAATAATCTGTATTAAAAGACAATATGGTTCTTATTTCAGGAAACAAGGGTGTGTCCAGAGCAACGAGTTTGCGAGCAGATATGTATGATAGGGGAGTGTTTCTGTAGAGATTCATTCATCAAAAGTGACAATGGTTCTTGTATACCAATTAATTGCCCCTATCCACCCGCATCTATTTGTCCTCCACATTTACAAGATTGCTCATCAGCCTCCTTTAACTGCCCAAACAAGACAGTGAATGGTGAATATTTGTTAGAGTCACGGTGTGAAGCTTTTTGCGATGGAGATTGGCTCATCCAAGGTCACGTGACATCTATCACGTGCACTGGATATGGAGATTGGACAATAAATGATGCTTACTGCATACCGAAGGAAAAGCCACCAACTAAGGTAAAATTTAACCTAACAGTCACCATAATTTAAATAAAAATGCATTGATTATTGCGCTTTTTGATAGGATATCTTAGAAAGAACACATTAAAAGTTATTGTTCAGTTTATAACGGTGCACCTTATTGTGGCATTACCTGACAGGGACTACTTAGATAAAATTAATGAATTGTTTTTAGATTGAAATATATCCAAAGGCAGTGCCAGAAAACAATCCAAATAGATGTCCATTTTTGATAAAAACAGAAAATGATAATGGACCAGTGCACGATCATTGTTTTTATGAGATCAATGGCGTTGCAAAGTTGAAAATGTACACTAATACCACTAACAATGAAGACTGGCTTTGCTTTACAGAGAAATTAAATTATGAATCGATGGCAGGGTATGTAAAACTGATTTAATTAACCCATGCAGTTAGGAAAACTACGTTAAATTTCAAAGATTGCTACTTTTGGAAAGCATAAATGTAATGGAGTTTTTCTCAGTGATATCTTTGGCATGAAAACATGTCCTTAATTGCATATATCATCTTACACCCTACGCTAAAATTATGTCTGTCTTCAAATATTAAAAAAAACGTTAGTCTTGCTTAAAGACCATGGACTATCTAATTTAACAACTGGCTGTTGGAGGAGATAGTCCGGTGTCTTGAAGCAAGACTAAAAAACGTTTATTGCTATCTCACTCTTATATACAATAATTTCAAGAATTTGAGACAAATTACATATCAGTAAGAAATTCTCTTTTTATCTTCAGGCTTATTGTAATGCTGAAAAGTGAATGTGATGACAATAACATTGTAGAACAAAACATAACCATAGATGTGATTGATATTAATGACCCACCATCATCCATCAATGTAAGTTAATATGTAAAAAAATAAAATGTACATTCACACGTTGCGTTTCTTTATCGATACTTTATTATTTTATCATTTTTTTAAAGATTGAATTTTTTATTTTTTTATATTAAAATTACTGTACAACATTTGATGTAAAAACAGCACAATGGCAAATACATAGGTAAAAAGTTAGTATGTACAAGTCGATTGCGAGATATGCATTCTTCATAGGAAATTACTCCAGCACAACACACGCAAATACCTTTCAATATCAATTTCGACTGTTCGTCAATTATTGTTCAAGTTACAATATTAAAGATTTTTAAAGAAAATTTGATGGTTTACATTATTTAGACTATATCAATATCATGATCATAGGGCGGTATGTAAATAACAAAAGTCCATGTATCAAATGTTAACATAACAATATTATCATTGTATATTTAAAACTAATATGCAAATCTTTCAATCAACATATATTTATTTATATTTTTAGCTGTCCGGAAACACAGTGAGAGAAAATAGCCCACCCGGTACAGTCATCGGAGAAGTACTTGTCGTAGATGAAGATGTCCACCAAGATATTTCAGTATCTTTACTCAGTCATACGAATATATTTAATCTTGTGAAGCTGGATGGTGTGCTAGTTAATTTACAGGTACATATATTGTGAGTTTCTGCAGGTTTGTGTATTCCGGACGTATATGAATTCAGGCAACCATCAGTATTATAAGAAATATCCAATGACTATAAGAAATAGGAAGTTAGCTAGTAAAATTGCCTGGCCAATATTTGTAAATACTTTTAAAGGTGATAAACTCCAGTTTTTGCAATGATGTCTATAACACTAACTGTCCGTTGGACTATGAGCTGGCTCCTTACATCAATGTAACAATACGTGCCGAGGACAGTGGTATACCAAGTGGAGCTATAGAAGAGACATTTACGATCCATGTATTAGATGAAAATGATCCGCCAACTGCTATAATTCTAGAACCAGATATAATTTCCGAAAACCATCGTGTGGGTAAGTGAATCTTCATGTGGAAATGAATGGCTTGATTTGATTTTTTATTTTCTAAATGGCTTGATTGTCAGCGATAGAATATTTATAGAACTGATTGCTTAGATAATTTGGAGTCTGTGATCACATGATGTAGGTCTTGTGTAATTGTACTTTTTTGTTGTTTTCAACTATTGTAATGTGTTCTGTTTTCCAGCATTGTTTCATATGCGTAGTATAAATCTGTCGTTAATATAGTGTAATATATTACATACAGGGTGTCCTAGTTTTTTGTGTCCCTTTTAAGGCAGAATATGCGATATTGAACAAGTAATTCAACCCTTCTTCGGTCCAATTCTGGACATCTTGTATGTCATTTAATATTATATGTCCATCAGGTGATCCATTTTGGGAGTTGACAACTATCGACCAGGATATTGGGCAGAGACATACATACGAGCTTCTGGATGATTACAACAAAACGTTTGCAATACATGGTAAACATCATGTTCAGTTATTGAAACAGCTGGATTATGAAGCCGTGGGAGGAATAGTTTACATCGATGTCAGGTCCAAAGATAATGGAACCCCTGAAAAATCAGTAAGTTGTGCACTACCTCTATCATATTTGTAATATATTGAGAGTGCAAAATGGGGGAATATTTAGAAAATCGACAATAAAATACATACACACTAAAAGTATTATATCACGACATCTATTATTACTATTGTTCATCAAAGTCCATGGAAATTAAAATGTGATAGTTGAAGTCTCATATTTAGTTATTGTGAACAGTGATGTTTATATAATGAAATGGTATTTATCCACTGTTGGTTTCATTGTAGGTTCATCAAACGATTCAAATTACGGTCATTAATGAGGACGAACCCCCACAGGACATCCACATCAGCTCAGAATTTGGGAGTAGTGACTTTGAAAGAGATCAACCAAAAATAAAAGAAGAAAATGACATCGATGAGATCATTGGTGAAATAACTGTTATGGATGATGAAACGAGTGATGAATTAAAAATAAATGTGGTTAACAATACAATACCAGACAGTTTAGGTGTCATCAATAATACATGTATAAATATGGTAATTATATGATTGCTTTAAGCTTTGTTACACTTTATATATAGCGATATATAGCGATATTGTGCCTCTCGTCCGACAAATAATAAATATTTGAATAAAGTTGTTTTCTATATTTTCAGGACTTGTGCATGCTATCATAATGGATATGTTACTTTGAATTTCTTTCAGTTAGGCAACACGTTTTGCAGAGCATTGTTAGTTGCAAAACAGGTGTTCACGCAAACGAATGAGCAAAAAACTCTAGATTTTACAATAGTGGCGATTGATAAAGCAGGACTGACTTTAAGTAAACCATTTGCATTAGATATCACCAAGACTAACAAAGCTCCAACGGTAATTGCTTTAACATTTTATTTTGTATAACATAGTTCATTGACAACCAATACATACAACTACAGATCAGATATGAGAGAATCTAACTTGAACACATCCTATTCGACCCATGTTCCTCAAATCAACCGATAACAAGCAAAATCAGATAACTCTTGCACTTACGTTTCAGTTTAATATTTTTAGGATATACTTCTGAATCAGAAAGTCTTTGACAGTATTAAAGTTCCTGATAGTAGAAGGAATATGTCGCTTGGTGTCCTTTCAACATCTGATCCTGACTCTGAGGATAAGCATTACTATTCTCTAACAAATGCCGACGGAATAGTCTACATTGAAGGCAATGATACATTGAAGGTGAATAGATAATGCATTTTTAGAACATCAATCAACATTTACATTAATTACCAAGGTAACAGAGACAATTTTGCTCATTTGGGGCAGATAACATGGACTCGACAATGGCAGATAAGGGAATAGATTCTTAACTTATTATTTGATAGATTTAGAGGATAGATTTTCATATTACATTTTTAGTTTGATAATTATATTATTGAAAATAAGTCAAGTAATAAAAGAAAATATTTTCTGTCGAATACAAGAAAATATTTAACTTTTTATTTTTATAATATTGGATCAATGGGGAATCTATCTGACCTTGAAGTCACATTTTCAAAGAAAATTACTAAGTTGACAAACAATTCATTGGATACGAATTGATAATCAAATGAAATATAAGAAAGGAATAACCAAGAAAGCTTATTCAATTCAATAAAGAAAACACTTATAATTGTGTGCATACTGTCTGTTTTCAGTTGAATCAAAATGCAGCGTTACTATTGCATACAAACTACACTATTTCGATCATGGTAACAGACAATGGGATACCTCCAAAGTCATATCTGAAGAATGTAACAATTACGCTGGAGATTGTTAATGTTTTACCGGATGGACTTACTATTTCAAACAATAAGGTAGCGTAGTGTTTGACATGTTAATTTTACTATATTGTTTGGTGTCACGGAATAGTGAATAATTGAAATGACAAAATTAGAGAGAAACAGTTATCAATATTGAACATAAAACTATAAATGAAGAGAGGACATGGTCCATTTAAGTAGATTTATCTCATTAAAATGCGTACATAACACCATACAAGTGTATGAGTAAATATAAAAAAATATTCACATGACGTAATACAATCTACATGTAATTGAATTGTATGCCTAACCCTTTCTTCCAGATAAAAGAAAACAGTGTCTCGGGAACCTTGATTGGTCTACTTGAAGGTCATGACCTCAACAATCTCCGTGAACAAATTCAAACCTTAACTTACACCATTGATCAAAATCCTGGTAATATGTTTCAAATCAAGAATGGAAATCGACTAATTGTAACTAAAGACACCACGTGCGTAGATTGTACCCTGGACTACGAGAAAGCCAGGTTCTATGAAGTTGGTATAAGCGTCAAAGATGACGGGGAACTTACTGATCCACCCAGTGCTTACTTTGTTGTTACAATAGAAGTGGAAGATGTAAATGAAGCCCCGTATAATGTAGTTGTTAACAAAAGGGTTATACCAGAGAATAGTGCTCCCGGCACTATTATAGGTAATGCATGTGGATATAGATAGATAGATGTCAGAACTTGAATAAATAGAACTAAAATACACATTTTCCTTTTTAGTGCATGTACATCAAATAAAAAGTGTTTCTTATTTTGATCTTCTAGGCCATATATATGCCATCGACGACGATAGTCATCAAACTGTTAGATTCAGTTTATTGGAAGCACGTGGTTTTGAAATTAAAAACTACAATCAAATTGTTTCTACCGCACTCTTTGATTACGAGACTAAGTCACACTATAGTTTCCAAGTTGTGGCTACTGATTCGGGGATACCAAGTTTGGAGGTAATTCAAATTACTATACTTTATAGTATTTTAACTATAATTATATATTGACATTGCGTATATATTCATAATAATGTTTTTAGAAAATGGCTGTTTTGCAACTACAACACAAACAATGGCAAAATATCCTGTTTTATTTCAGACGAAAACACCTACCAACGTAACAGTCTTGGACATTAACGAACCCATTAAGCTAATAGGAGAAACATCTATTGAAATCAACGTTAATGAAGATATCAACGTTGGGACAACTGTTGCAACAATTGAAATCGTCGACCCAGACAAGGAGGATCACTTTGAATATTCCCTGTCTGATCCGTATGGCCTGTTTGAGTTATCTGATCCGGTTTGCAATCAAATGGTGCATTTACATTTAATGTCATGTTATGTTACACTGTGGATAGACCAGGCAACATTGTTTCTGAACATTTTCCGATATTTTTTGCCTTACATTATTACCATAAATCTGATGTACATGCTTAGAGTAAATGATCCAGGAATACTTTATATTTATAATTTATGTTTCCTAATAGAATTTCTTTCCTATAGATGCCTCTTCTAAATAGCACATAACACAATCTATAGGAATATGAATTTCATCAATGACTATTTTATCCACAGAGTAGTAAGTTATGCTCATATTGTCCTCATTTACAGAGTTCCGAATTGAGATGTACTTTCTATGTGAGGGTTGCTGGTGTTTTAAATTATGAGTTTGTCAACACCATTAACTTACTCTCCCATATCAGAGACGAAGGCGGAGCCGAGGTTAAACAAGCCATCGAAGTCAAAATTAAAGATATAAATGATCGACCAAAGGTATGACTAATTACGGTCTACATAATAATAATTATGAACGCTACTGACTTAAGAAGTCAGTCATATGCATATTTTTAGAGGTACAATGTAGACTGCATATAGTTAAAGCACAAAAGCATGCTGTAAAATTGACATACAACCAATAGTAAAAGTATGTTCCTTGCATTTCAACATTAAGAGATGTATGGAATAGTTATTAAAAATCAAATTAAATTACATTACATGGTTTAAGTTATACTCATTCTTGATCAAATGACAAACGTATTTAGATACTATGTTCTAGATCCAATTGCCTTTCTAGGATATCTTACTCTCCGGGAGTACATATACCACTGTCTTCATTGACCAGAATACAACATGGAAAGATACAATTGCAATGTTATCTACTGTCGACGATGATATTGGACAGAGATACAAATACATGATAATACGAGGAGCTGGGAATTTATTTATTCTGGATGGCAATATATTAAAGGTAAGAACAGTCCAGCTCTTGATAAATGATTATATATCAAACAAAAACGTAAAATGTAGCTAGAAAACCGGATATTCACTCATTTGAGCATATACGAAATCCACATTCATTCCTTCAGTAAAAAATCAAGGCCATAATAGCTAATTAGGATTTTCAATGAAGCTGTTGAAGGGTCCAAATTATCATAAAAATATACCTGAACAATTAATTCATATTTTGCAGTTGAAACAAGGAGAAGTCCTGAACTACGATCGCAAAAATATGTACAAAATAATTTTAAGGTCAACAGACAACGGAACACCAGAGAAATATGTTGAAAAGGATATTTTCATAAAGATAAATGAAGTGAATAACCCACCAACTAATATCGTATTAAGACCATCGGAGGTAAATATACCAATGTCCTATATTTGGTTGTGCGGTATTGATATATCCTGAGATTTGTCACACGTTAATTGTTATTGAACAAAGTACGACTATTCAACCATTTTAATGATGTATGTGTTTAAAACAAGATGTGCAAAACGCATTTAGTGTCCCACATTTCACTGATGGCATTGACTATTGATGCTATTTTAGATACTTGAAAACAGTGGTTTGGATGAAACCGTTGGTATCCTACGAGGGGCAGATTCTAACAGAGAACTGACGAAGGATATGATTTATGAACTCATCGATGATGCTAACGGACTATTCAAAATAAAGGGAAACGTTGTAAAGGTAAAACTAGAAACGCAATTTTATGATGTGTGCTTTCATGATCAAGTAATTCCGTTGTCAAAAAGAAGGCTCCCGAATGAACGTACACTGTAGAGGATATTTGCGATGAAGGCAATGCTCTGTGGTTTATATATGCAAATAACTGTACAATACCAGGCGAAAAGTCACTTATTTTCAAAAAACTGGATAAATACTCACCTCTGCTGAATGCATTTTAGGTTGCCAGATCAAATGAGACATGCATTACCACAGGACGTCACTGTTGGTTGGATTTTGAACAAAAACGCAAAGTTGATATTACAGTCAGGGTATCTGATCAAGGTCGTCCACCGTTATCGTTCACAAAGAAACTACAAATTAAAATAAATGACATTAATGATCCACCAGTGAATATAAAATTGGGTAAGTCAATCACTAAACTAGAATTATATATGTTTAACAAAGGACAGTTTTCTCGAGCACGTTAGCAAATAAAACATTGTGTGTAGAACTGTTTTTCTATGTTAATAGGTGACAACACAATCGATTCATTTAGTAAACAAGGTGATGTCATTGGGCAGATATCATTGCAAGATGATGATATACATCAGAGACACACGTTTGAATCATTTGGTGGGGACACCAATGAATTCGCTGTTTTCCCAAATGGCACCGTATATAAAAATTCTGATGCCATATTGAGTATGACGCAACAATACAGGCTACTTGTGAAGGTGACAGACAGCGGTAATTCACCCGCAAGTGTGAGTGAACAGTTATATTATAATTGCAGATTAAGTATATTGATGGCTTAGATCAACTTTAAATTATAAAATACATCACTCGTCATTGTCATAGGTCACCCAAAAAAGGCGATAAACTATAGTCCAAAGTTGTAGTGGTGTAAATGACACGACCGGATTCCTTACACATTTTTAGTGATGGAGAATACAAATTGTTGCTTAACTACGACAAAATCTCTTTGTCCGAAGCTTGCAATTGTTAACAAAAATTTTGAATCCTCATTTTCTGTCTGTTGGCCATGTGAGCAATAAATGTCTCTCGACCAATCACCAATGATACCATGGCGTGATCTATGTCAGTTATAAATCTAGCATTAAACTATAGTGTCATCCTCACATGTAGATAGGGCTTTTTACGCTTGGAGTTTATCCCCTCTTGGATGACACATTTTCATAAAATGCGCTTGTTTGTTCAAATGTTCATGTTACCAGGTAAAAAACAATAATATTATTGGCATTGAGCATTTTGGGTTTTATATTTGTCTTTGCAGAATGTAGCTTCTGTATCAATAACCGTAACTAACAAGAGTTCGGGAATCACAATAGGATATTTTCCCAGAAAGCTAGACATTCCCGAGAACACCCCAATTGAGACTACAATCACCACCATCACGGCATCATCCGAGGCGCAGAATGTCGCGAGAACGTTCAAATTGATAGATGGCGCCAATGGAACGTTCAAACTTGGTGACGTGTCGATACCACCATTTGTAAATGTATGTTTTAGGTTTTGTCAGGTGGATAGCTATATAAATACATGTACTAGTACTAAGATAAACAGACGTCGGGTGTCGAAAAAGCGCCCAGGAATCCATTTTGATAATAAAACTTAATTTAATTTAATGTCACTGTCCCAAAGTCAATCAGATATTACCCGCTGTTCATTTAGTTCATTCAGTTAATTTATTGTTCGTTCATCTCCCTTTAATCTCTACCACACTACACACTCATCTGCCTATTTGTGATTTGCGAGTAGTTACCCTTGACAATATATCAATCAGTATGGTAGCTTATTCATATTTAGATTCAATCATCTATGTGGACTGTTCCATTAGTATTGGCTCGACCACTTGATTTTGAAACAAGGGAAGAATTTGTTTTCAAAGTAAAGGCAATTGACGCGTATCAACGAGAGCAGTTCGAAGAACTTATGATCCGGGTCACCGATGTCAACGAAGGGCCATCGGTGAGTATTATAATTATAAATACATACAACTTTTGGAATGTTATGCAATGGTACCATATTTAATATATTTTAGAACTATTAATACAACATAATAGTCATAAACCAGTCACATTTAAAAATATAGGCACCGAAATACATGCTATCGATCAAAAGAGCTACTCAAATTTACCCTCAACAGACGTATTTATCGTTATCATAATTACATTTTTTCTTTGTTAGGATATCTTATACTCTGGAGGAAAGGATATATCTGTACATGAGAAGCTTTATACGAACGATGAAGTCATTGGTCGCTTTCGTGTAGTAGATGACGACATTGAAGACAAACACGTGCTTCGGATCAGTAACAACAATGCTATAAAGTTAAACAGAGAGGGTGAACTGTATGTACCGGCAGGTGCGTATAGAGTTGAAGCTAACTTATCTACGCATGTTTGGCCATCTTTCATGTATAGTAAAAAAAGTCCAGTCTAGTTAAATTATAATAGCAAAGAACTCTTATGAAGCGAAAAACTCTTATGAATCCGTTATCCCTTACCATATGGAACCATTAAGCAAAACAGACGCGATAGCGATTTTAACCCTAAGAACGTTTATATTAAACCACGTCCAATCAATTGATTTGGTCACATCTTTAAATTGAGGGATTCGTGATCAATTTGGAGTCCTGCGTTTGGAGTCGCATCATGTAGTGTCACTCATTTTGCCTTAATGCATACTGCCTGGATTAAATGCACTTTTTGAATGCTTCAGGAACATCATTCGACTTTGAACGACGATCCAAAATCAAAATATTAGTGCGTGTAGCAGACAAAGAAACGGCGGTATTCAGAAAAGCATTCCAAGTGAAAGTTATTGATTCGAACGAGGCACCAACTGAACTGATACTTGTGAATGGGACAGTGAGCACGGGATTTTTAACTTTTGGTTTGGTAAAAGTTTTAAAATCAAATCAAAATATCACATGGTCATGATTTCTCAAGACATTATCTAACCGTCATCTTTTATGATTCAAATAATAATGTGATGACATTCAATTCAGATCAATCACATTAAATGAGATGATATTATCCTTCTTTGAAAAATAAACTTTGTAATGTATATTATTTCTAAATATTATATATTACGTAATCGTAAAATATTAATTTGTAAATTAACAAAGATTATATTTTGTGTCTAGCTGTTCGATAACAGTCCAGCTGAAACATCGATTAGTACAGTGAAAGTCAGAGACCCCGACAATGCTAATTGGGGCAACCAAACGTTCGCAATAGAGCTGGTGGACGATGGTCACGGATTGGTGAAACTCGATGAACTCATATTAAAGGTAAAATGGTTATCATCTCATTTTTAAATTGGACCAGATAGGATAATCAGTGCAATCCACGATGTTAAACAATTGTCTTTTAGAACCAAGATATAACATGCAAGGAAAAATATTATATTAAAACTAACACCCTGAATTATTCGTATTTGCAGGTTGCCAAATATAATGACGTCTGTACTCCAACCGACGATTACTGTAGAATTGATTACGAAAGTCATAAGGCATTACTGATTACGTTCAAAGTAACTGACAGTAGCTCTCCCCCTATGACAGGTAGTACAATGATATTAACCTTTGAGAAACGATCAGTTAAGTACAGGCTGAGCAAATGAAAAACGACACAAAGAATTAGCACGTTTTAAGATTCAAGACGGAGTTATTACATAATTAGAATAAATCGATCGGTCAATGGAGCAAGCATGCAAGGACAAATCCAATATCTTTAAGTTGACAATCTGTTAGTTGAGAAAACTGATCTCTGTCCTTGTCAGAGAAACATTCTTAACATTCATCTTCCTGAAAAAAACTTAATTAAAATTCTGACTATTTTAATTTCAGCTTACTTTAATAGAATGATCGCTATCGAAGATATAAACGACCCACCTAGACGGATACATCTTGATGGTACCATTTTAGCAGAGAACCAGCCAATTGGGACGTTGCTAGGTCAGCTGACTGCCGAGGATGACGACAATAACGCTGTTATATTTGAACTTACTAGTGGAACTGAATATTTTGAGATAACTGATACAAATAAGATTGTTACCAAAGCAGTGTTTGACTTTGAACAAATGAATCAGTTTCACATCAATGTTAAAGCTATTGATGACGGCATTCCATCGGCACAAGTAAGTCATTGATGTGATATAGAAAGGTATTGCGCGCAAAGGAGTATATAAAAAAACATACCACTTTATATATTGAATTGGGTTTTTAATTTATATCAAGACTAAGAAAGACACCATTGTGTAGGAACATGAATGAAGTAAATGTTCAGCTTTGGGGCCTCTAAATCTTACGATGTCAAACTGTTGGTTTATTGAAATACATAATTTTGATGGATGCGATAAATCGTAGGCATGCAGTTATGGCTGCACTTTATTCGTATGTCGTATGGCACAGTACATTTTGCTTAATTGACGAAGTACTGGGCATACCATTTTATAAAGAAATATCCTTGATAAATTACAAATAAAAGGCATATACCTATGATTATATTTCCTTGGAATATGAATATTTTTGAATATTAAACATCCGTTTATATTCTGCTACTTGCATACGCTAGAATAGTACTTGACGCTCTTTTTGCTGGGCTACGAGACTTACTTATAAAAAGAACGTATACCTACACATTTTGATAACTTAACATATGATTTATCGTTTATTGAGTGTAAATGGTACATTCAATGCAATAAAATGTTATTTGTGTGTTGCAGGCTAACAAATACTTTACAATTAATATCCACAATGTCGAAGAGTCGCCGATCTCGATTGATATAGCCATGAATGAAGAGTTCAAGTCCGAACATGTTGACGAGATCACCATTCCAGAAAATGTTTTAATTGGAACAGTAGTCGGTAGTATCAGTGTTAAAGATCCTGATTTAGATGATGATCTCATTGTTACAATGGATTCTGATGTTTTCATAATCAATGAGATCGCATGTGAAAACAAAATAGAGGACTTTATTGGAGGGACAATATGCGCTGGTACAATGACTGTTCATACGGCGTTGGATTATGACAATTTGGCTACTTTTGATTTGGTTTTCTCCGCAATGGATAGGTCAGGATTTAAAATCACTAAAACAATGAAGGTGAATGTAAATGACGTCAGTGAGGCACCCCTTGATATTTTTATTGGAAACTCAAAGAACACAACGCTGCAGATTTTCGAAAATGAAATCGGTGCATTAATTGGAGAGCTTCATGTAATCGCCGAGAGCAAAAATACAGATTATAGTATCATTATCACCGATGATCCGTCTGGATTATTTGAAATTAAAGACATGGTTTTGTCATTGAAAGAATCATCATCTTTGGACTATGAGGATAATGGTTATTATGCAATAAATCTGAAGGCAATTGATAACTCCAACGATGACCTTTATATTTCTAAAACCTTCACGATAGAAGTTACTGATGTCAACGAACAGCCTACTGAATTGATACTAACAAATACGATTGTTAAATCTTCAGGGAAAAGTGGAGAAACTGTTGGACGTTTCTATGCAATCGATCCTGACAACACATACCAAACAACACAAAAATTTGAATATAAACTTCAAGATGGGGATAGTTATTTCCAAATTGTCGGGGAAACGTTGACTATCAAACAATCAAACTTCACAGATATGGACAATGTTGACATCACAGTAACTGTTACAGATGATGGTTTTCCACCACTGAGTCGCGATTTCCGAATCCTGTTAACAATCAAACATGATATAGAGCTTCCGTTTAATTTCGAACTATTGGGTAAGTACTTTATATTTTTGATTCCTTTAGTATTTTAAACAGATTCGGTTCGACGTGTGAATACTGAATACATAAATTGCCAGTGAACCAAAACAGAATTGATTTACAGCGGCTTTACACATTTTTCTGTAATACGCATTGACATACAAGTAATTATGTAATTGTGAATTCAAACTTGTGTACTTTCGAATTCATTTCTTCACTTACGTTTTGCAGGCAATTATATAGACGAGAATTCTCATCTTGGAACTACTGTTGGTAGATTAGGTATTGTCGGGAGTAAACATTACAATAGCATGACAAATGTACATTACATGGTGCAAGGGAATGTACCATTTAGAGTCCAAAATGACAAGGTTGTAGTTGACGGAATACTAGATTATGAATTGGTGAAGATGTATGATATTGAAATTATGGCAGTTAACAAATTAGATACCTCACTAAAGGTAAATACTTAATCCATATTACTATCACACACGCTTCAAGTTCACCATGACTTTAATCAAAATAATAAGTTATTGTGGTTTTAAATATCGTTTGTTTTCATAACGGTAGTTGTTTCTGATTATTAATATGATTTTATAAACAGTAGCCATACTTATAACCAAACATGTCATTTCTTCATATTTTCAAGCTGAGCAAGCATTTCAAAGTAACAATCAACGATGTTAATGAGAAACCAACTATTATCTCAATAACGAGTCCTGATAACAGAAAGGATGTCATAATCGATGATGACATGGAAGATGGAGCCGTTGTAGGACAAATAGCATCAGAAGACTCGGAAGATGGTACATTGGAAGTTAACATAGTAAATGGGTCCCTGTCTAGAATACTCTACGTTGGCGCAACCGACTGCATGTCCCTACTAAATAAGGTAACGGTCTGAATATATGGGGAAGTTAGCAATATAGTACATGTTATATGGAATATTAATAGGAAGTTTTCAAATACGAATAATGTTTTCACAGATAATGAAGTCATGATGGTTTCTTTCTTTTTTAATTCTAGACAAAGAGAACAAGATGTACAAGTCAGATCTTCATCCAAAGAATGTACATTTTGCCTAAATCGACAACGATGGACTTGGAGGTTGAAGTTCAAGATCAAGGAGGAGAGACTAGTAGGGGTTCAATTCAATGTCAGTTACAACACATAAATCACCCACCAACAGTAAGTCAATTTTGCTATTAAATTTTGGTGATTGGTTGAAACATTTATGAGATAAAAGGCGTTAAGGGATGATTTGATTTGCTTCTTTACTTTTATAGTTTTCTTAATATCTGACTGACATTATGATAGCATTTCTCTATGTTCATTCCACGATAAGCATTGCCATCAAACTAAATCGTACGAATGGCAGGTGAATATATCTAGGTATAGACGTGTAATTGAAAAAACGTTGGAAGGAAATAAAATGAGCACATCTTTCATTCGATAGGACATAGTTCTCGGGAACGCTGTATTAAAAGGGATTCAAGAGAACACTAACGAAATAGGTATCAAAATAACAACCATCGATGCTGATCCTATGGACCATCATAATTACACCATCAGCGGAGACACTTTCCAGATTGATGGCGGAATAATGCGATTAAACCCTGGAGTGATATTAGATTATGAAACAATACAAGAAATTACCATAAATATTACATCTCGGGATGATGGATTTCCAAATATGTCATTGGCAAAGACTTTCAAAATTGATATTCTTGATGTCAATGAGGCGCCTGATAATATATATTTGGAAAACACACTTATCAATAGTATGGCTGTTAGAGGGTTTGAAGTGACAAATGTCACTGTTAGTGATCCAGACAATGTGAATGAGACAGGTCCAAGACAAGGTCATGAATGTGTGTTAATTGGTCCATCTTCTCTCTCCCTGGATAATGTGGATATGGTCATAAAAGTAAGTAGAACTGTAGTCGTTGAAGATACATACGGTAAACCCACGTTTTTATATGTGCATTGCCCCGTGAACGTTTTATCAAACATGATTAATAAAGATGTGTCTTGTTCAGTTTCTTTTCTTGTGTGCAATCTTATCGAAATAACTAAAGATTCACTTTCGGAACTATAATTTATATTTGGGGAAATCGAACTCCTATTCTGATTAAAAAATCGTCTAAGGTTTGTGTCGTAGTTTTAAATAACGTATGGCTTGTTAAAGAACAATCAAGTTTATTTGTAAAATGTAACACTAATACAAACGAATATTAGACATTACACATGGTATTACAAATATTACAGATGAATATGACAGGACCACATAAGCCAGGAGCCATCAGGATTACCATAGTCTGCTCTGACTTAGCCATCCCCAGTTATTCTATAACAAGGGAATTCACGCTATATGTACTTGAGTCAGAAAACACTCCTAGAGGAATACTTTTTAATGGAAATGGATTTGTGAAAGAAAATATTGAAGGTGCATTCTTGGGAAATGTTAGCATCGTTGACCTTGTTTCGGGCATGGTGCTTAAACAGGTAAATCGTGTTATTTCATGAACGTAAATCATAATGTTATGCAACGTCGCCTCAAAAATCTGTATAAGACAAAGGTTGTTACTTTTAATATTTGTTATATTCTGAGATTCCCAAATAAATTATTCTTGTTGTAGGATTATAGGTTTAGCATAACCGATGACACCTTGCCATTTACAATGGACGAACATACCTTGAAAACTAAAGAAGGATTAGACTATGAACAAGAGCGAATTTGGTTTATCGTTATACAAACCACTTTGCTTAATGATGAAGTTATTCAGGAAGACGTTATGGTAAGTAAATTAATAATTCGAATATACTAAACATTCGTCGTGTCACCTCATTCATCAATACTCTGTCTAAACGGATATGATGACAAAATCTCGTAATGACCTGTCTCTAGATCTTGAAAAGTGAGATGCACAATAAGTCATATTTGAGGAATATATCATAATTCTAGATCCATGTACTGGACACTAACGATGCATCGACTGCAATAGGACTCTATCATCCAGCGATCATTTACGAAAACAGTCCAGATGGTACGTTTCTGAATGAGATGTTTACAGAAGATCAGGACCTGGGACAAGATCACGTGTATACGATTCTTCACATTTATGGGTAAAAATTTTTTTCACACAAATGGGTACATGGCATTATATTGTTATGTTTAGAGCCATACATATACATGTATTATATCAGGGATATGGATTGGGTTCCATCAATCAATCGTTTTTACTAATTCACATTGTTCTTCATCAGTTTTAAAATAATTATTACAAGGGCTTGCGAGTAGCAAAAATAAATAACCTTTGTGAGTCTATGAAGTATCAATGTCAAAAGTTTTACATATTCTGGAAAATGATTAACACCGTTTTCAACTTCTGGCTATTCTTGGAGGATTGTGAAAACTCTAAATAGAGAATGGCAATAATGGCGTTGAAATTTTGTGAATATTTGTGATCGTTTTCTTATTATAGGAAAGCAAAGAATGGAACCATCTATCAAATACATATTGATACACTAAGTATAGCTGACAATACATTGAACATTGGAACAAATAACAAGGAAATCGACTTTGAAGCATATGAATATATCACTGTCGAGGTCAATACAACAGACGTTGGGCATTTTGATGGCACTGCTTACTCGTTTATTGAAAATATTACCTTGGATGTGATTGATGTGAACGAGGCGCCCATTGATATAGCAACGAACATCACAGAGGTACATCACAGAAGTACAAATATAGAAGAATACTAAGTAGGCAATTAACTTATACGCCATTTCTTGATGTTGATTTTAACTCGTTGATGAAATGAACAAGTCATTAAAATCATATCATAGCCCTTGTATATACTATTAGATACAAGTAAATAACATTGTATTGTTTTTTCTGTTATGTTGTAGGTTAACGAAAATATTACACTAGGTACGATAATTGGGGAACTGACAATTGAAGATCCGGATATCAATGACGATCATACTTGTAATATTACGACTGCTTCCAATTTTAAGGTAGATTTGCTATGTTAGTAGGTACATATAGTACATTGATTTGACATTTCATGCTTATGCTGTAAGTATGTTCACCCATGAGTATACTGTTATTACAGTCGCATATCATTTTAGTCATATACTTGAGGGTAACGCTAACTAAAACTCCCCGAGTACTTCCTCTTTGATGTAGATTAATATTCAGTTCTGGGCTCCAGCCTAGTTGGTATATTTAGACATATATTAATTCTTATCCTTTTGTATCGACCTATTTTTTATCTTCTAGATCGTGGACAAGACTATGATACAAGTTTGGAGGGAACTCGACTTTGAAATGTCACAAGTTGAAATGTTTATTGTAAGACAACTTTTCTTTACTTACTAAGTTTCCATTAGTGATAAACATCTAGATTCCAGATATCTAAAATTAATATTGTTATATATCAGTTTGTACATGTATATTTCAGTTTAATTTGTTATAGGTGATTTGTTTCGATTTTGGAGGACTGTCAATGGACAAAGTACTACAGATTAATGTATTTGACATCAACGAACCTCCGTTCAACATAACACTGTCAAACAGTAACATAGATGAAAATAACATGCCAGGGCAAACTGTTGGTGAATTGAAAGCAATGGACTTTGAAAATTCCATGGTATGTATTGAATTGTTGAATTTAAGTGCCAAAAAGGAGAAAGTATAGATGGAAGAGCGGATATAACGCGACAAAACAATAACATATTTAAGCCGTGATTTTTAGTTTGGTTAATTTTGTCTATTTATACGAATGTTACTAATAGGTTACTGCATACGCCTTAAGTGATATATGAAAACCTATAATTATACACTTGAAACTAACTCTAAAACTCTAAAATGTATTTGACATTAAGTAAGATAAATTTAAGATATTGGTAATTAAATAAATAGACCCATTTATACATGTGCCAAGAATTGGTTTTATCTTGTACTCTTCCAAGTAAAAATGCATTTCAACAGTATGGAGTACATAAAAAACTTTTATCATGTCTAGTAAATTTACCTTGTTCATTAGGTCATGTTTATGGTTGCATCAGAGGGTCATTTTGCAATAGTTGGTGATGGAACCCTTGTTGCTAATGAGACACTTCATCACAACAAAGCACCTGGGTACAACATAAATGTCACGGCAATTGACCATCTTGGACTAAGCACATCAAAGAACTTTTACATAAAGGTTCGTCTGGACAAAAGAGGCATTGATAATGTTTCTATTCACTTTCCTATTGTCACTTGTCACACAACTGTATTCGAGGAATAATGGGTCTGCTTAATAATAACCAACAACGCTTTTAAATGTCATATACACGGAATTCTAGTATAACATGCATACCATGTCTTTGATACAAATTCTAGTCAATGACATCCATACAGTAGATCTTTAAAATACCATTATCTCTCATCTTATACTTATCTAGGTGAACGCTATCGACCTACCTCCAAAAGGAATTCTTCTATCCAACAGTGTTATTGCAGAAAATTCTTCCGTTGGAGACAGAATCGGGACATTGTCAATCATAGACGATTCTAAAAATAACTCCTATGAATATACTATTGTAAGTCAAGGTAAGACAAAGGAAACGTGTCATTATCGTGTTTAAGTTCATTTTTGTGTAGGTACGGTCTTCACAATAATAGGGAAGTCAATACACGTTATTTATAAGAACTTGTACGTGAACATAGAATTTTGGTCCTCCTGGGATTTGTTCTGTCCTTCGTAGTATTTATTTGCCCAATTGAGTAAAAAGGTATACGAATAATTGTAATAGTATCCCTTTAAAACCAAATGATATGGGAGCAGAAATCCACGAGGGTCACAATGATACACGTTCATGGACAAGTACTCTTAAATACGTGTACCTTCATTTCTCTAGTAATGTTTCACGTACATATGATTATCACTTGTTGTCATGTTTTTGTCTACAGTGGGGGTTTTTGGAATCGAGGAAGATGCCCTTATTGTTAGAAACAATACTATGCTTGACTTTGAGAGGTGCCCATTTATATTGGTATCAGTTAAGGCCACTAGGATTGACAGTCAGACAAAATTCACCAAGGTAAGGAAAACTGCAAATCTGAAATTGAGTTATTAAGAGAGTGGTTTCTGAAATAATTCTAGTGTACTTACTGACGAAATAACTACCTCATTTTTGTGTATATTGCAGGATGTCAAATATTTCTTTGTCTTCCTCATTTTCATGTCTTGTTTCAGCAAACCTTCAACATTTCTGTCATTGATGTTAACGAACCGCCACTTATCATCATTGTTGAACTGAACAACATACCAGAAAACAGTCAAATTGACAAACCAGTTATAGCATTTCGAGTAGAAGATCCGGATTTGATGTCATCAGTTACGTGTTTGGCTAGAAGTGACACGTCCAATTTCACTATCATTCAAAGAAAAATGCTGAAATTTGTTTGGTTTGAAGACCAAGATACAAGACTGGATTTTGAGAAGCATGACCAACTATATTTTGATGTAATATGCAGCGACGGGGAGTTGGTTGTAATGGAGGTAATTGCCATTTATATTTATGATAAAATTTGCTCTTTTGTTTTTGCATTCTATTAGCGCACTCCCATAAAATGGTAAAGCAATTTCGCATAACGTTATAACAAAAACCTTTGTTGCAACTATTATCTTTCATCATTGTTTATTGGATACAGGCATACAGGTGGTTGCAATTAGATAATTACTTTATATCAAACCCGATTATGAAAGTTAATTATTTGTTGCGTGACTACGTACTTGCCTCGGGATACTCCCCGTTTTCGCCAATGTTAAATACCATCCTTCTACATATTGTATTTATCAATTGTTTCAAGGCGAATTGCATTTTCCTATTAGAAGCCGTGAATACAAAACTATTCCCAATGCTATTCGAGTAAAATGCCCAAAGATGCAAGAGTTGTACACCCTTTCCGGGATGTATATCAAGGAACTTGAGGAACTCTGTTATCATGAGAATCCCATAAGCGAATGTCAGAACTAAAACCATTCGTCCAACTGTTTTGGATGCCTTCAGAGTTGATTTCATACTTGCAGCGCCTGAACTGCTTGAACCTAAAACAGAATCAACTATTTAAGCAAATAATATCAGCGCCTAAACCGCTACTACCCTAAACAAAATAAACCTCCTTAAAATGTGTTTATTATAAGCGAATTGTGCAAGCGCCTAAACTGCTCCAACAGAACAAACGCATTTGAAGATACTTTTGATGTGGTTGCAGTATTAAGCAAGGTCATTTATGTAAGCGCTTGGGCTCCTCTCATCAAAAACAAAACAAACATATTTTAAGATGATTTTGGTGGGGTTACAGCATAAGCAAGGTCAACTTATGTAAGCATCTAAACTGTTCATACCTAAAACAGAAAAAACATAAGATGCGTTTATTGTGGTATTAAGTGAATTATAAGCACCTACATTGCTTCTACCTATGACAAACGCATTTGAAAATGTCTTTGATGTGGTTGCAGCGTTAAGCAAGGTCAATTTATGTAAGCTTCAAACCGATTTTACCCTAAACAAAACAAACGCATTTTAAGATGATTTTGATGGGTTTGCAGCGTTAAGCAAGGTCAATTTATGTAACCTAAGCATCTAAATTGCTCATACCTAAAAAGAACAATCGTGTCCTAAGATTTGTTTGATGTGGTTGCAGTGTTAAGCACTGTCGAATTATAAAAGCGCCCTTGTATAAAACTTATCCGTCTAAGTAGGCACTATACGTACCCTCCATGTTAGCTGAATGAATCCTTTTCCAATGTCTTCTTGCGATGCAGAGATTAGCAAGGTTAAGAACGAGAGTCAGACCAAATGCTATGAATTGAGTGACAACTACTACAAAGAACCAAGACGGAGAACGCTCCAAGTGCGGTAAACATTGATCCGCGACAAGAAAAAACACAGCGTGATAAAGTCCAATTGCTGTCGCCCACTTAGTCGTAAATATCAACCAGATTAGAACGACCAGGCTCCGGGCAACACTTATGGACATGAGTTTCTCATAATGGAACGGATATGCAATGGCAATGAAGCGGTCAAGACTGAGTAACGCTATGCTATAGACTGACGTGACCATACTGTTGCCCATAATAAGTCCCGAAATGTCACACCAAAACTGTCCATAAGGCCATGCTTCGATAAGCCCAGGTTTGATAAGGAACGGCATGAAGATAACTGATTGAATCCAATCAGAAACTGTCATCGAGAGCAAAAATACTCCTTGAGAGGTGTTGATGATTTTTGAATAAATCAGCGCTACGAACATACTACTGTTTATAACGATGGCGACGATAACAATGACACTTTTTACGGCCGCTAGTATCTGTCTCAGGTACATCGGTAGGCTCGGGTAGTTCATGTTTGACTCAGTCCCCATCACGATGGTGTGGTTCGAGAGATTAAAATATGTACTTTTGTAATAATCACTGTCCATTTTTAAATAACATCCTAAGTTTCAAATTGTAAATCTAAATAGTCGAACCAATCCGTATTAATAGACTTGTTGTCACTCGACTCATCTAAGCTAATACATCGTACTTTATCAATATCAACCATTGGTACCTGCCATTTGCTAATGCTATAATTCTTAGATAGAACTCCAAATGCAAATCCAAATCAACATTGCTGGTGGTTATGAGCTAGCTCCATAGGCAGTGCTACTTTAGAGAATACAATTTCACCATATATACGCTTACGTGACTTGGACGTAAATGCAATTTATGAACGCAATGGGCTTCTCTAGGCTATTGTCACGATAGCCTGGTAGATTTATTTAATACAATATTCTTGTACAGACTTTATCTCAAAGAGACCAACAAAACTAGTAGTACTGTTGTAACACCTGTTTGAGTTTGAAATTGCAAACTAATAAATGACTTTAACTTTTTTTATTTCACTTTCAAAACGTGCTATATTGTCGTTGGCAATTGTGCTGGTATTCGTTTCATCCTGAAATCCTTTAGATGCAAAACCAGACTTGTATCCATTCCAAATTTAGTTTCGGTTCTGGGTATGTCGTGTCGTGTCGTTTCTCGTTTCGTTCGGTACACAACTAAGCCCCGGGTATTAAATAAGCCCTTGCTTGTAACTTGCTTGGTGCTTACGGGTAATGATCGTGTCAACGTGATCGTCAGTTTTTAAATTGTAAGTGCGTTTCATGAATAGTTTCAAGGGATGATAAATTCAATATGACAACAAAATGTACAGAATGCCACGTTTGTTTTATCTATAAATGCTTCCCGAGCGATTTCCAATCTGCGTTTATGGCATCACTTTGGTATTTTATAGTCTAGACACACTGGATGCATGGTACAATTTAATCGAAGTAATATTTCATAATTTGATATGTCCATTAATGTTTTCATCAATGCGTATGTTTTATAAATTGTCGAATATGAATGCATTCTAGGATAAATGATAATAAGATCAGTTTGTTCTCACAAAACTTAAAAACTTTCTTTTAATTGCAAAGATTTGCGCTTATTTTGTATAGTACGTATTCCATGAAATGCGATCATGTTTGTTCGATTACACACTCAACATGACAATTTTGATATGCAGATCTTATGCCTGGGTCACATTTACTCCGATTCATCGGCCGGCGCCCGGCCGATTGAGTATTTTGTTCAAAATTGTATTCAGATTTGTACAAAATACTGAATCGACCGGCCGCCGCCCGATGAATCAGAGCAAATGTGACCCATGCATTACTTAGGTTTATCAGAAGCGTCGGCAGTATTAGGCAACTACATGCACTGTATGTGTTTTAGAGCGTGGTTGTCAATATAACAGATGTGAATGAACCACCAACTAGTATCGGTCTCTCCGGCAACCATGTTGTCACCATCGAAACGGTTAATGGTGACGTCATTGGAACCTTGACTACAAGTGATCCAGATATTGGACAAGTTCATATGTACATTGTCATTGGAGGATATCATTTTATTTTTGAGGTATTTTATTTGTTTTTTTTGATTAAAAGATTACATGTATCTCAATTCAAATCAATTATATATATTGCTTATATTATGCAAATATAATTATCATTCTCTAGAGGTGAACACTTGTTCATCTTTCAAAACAACCAATATTTGCAAATATTTACTATACTGGGTTTTCTTTTATTCCAAGCCTAGTTTGTAAAATAGTCGTTCAAACAAATATGGGGGTTAACATGTAAACCATGAAAACCACTGGTCCTTAACCTTTTTGAGCAGTATATATTCCTATAGTCATGCATTGAACATGAACCAATCAAGGGGGAGGGGGAGGAATATGACAGTGAATAATAATATTAAAAATGCTATTCTAAATGAGACATACCATTTCACATATAGTATTAATGCAGTTATCGTCTGCTGGATCACATTCTAAACCAAACAGGGTGTTTAGGGCCATTGGGACTCATATGAAATCTTGTCATATATTTTAGATTGTGAACGGTGATCAGTTGGTATGCAAAGTAGATCTGGCATCGTTTGGACAGGTACTCGGTGATTACATTGATTTAGAAATCATGAGTTTTGACAATGGGAATCCGCCAATGTCTTTCAATGAAACGATTAGATTGACATTCAAAAAACACAACACAAGCTTTGATTTTAACTTGTCGAATGACGTTGTTTTGGAAAACAGCACCGCTGGAACTGTAATTGGACAGTTAAAACATAATGGTCGTATTGACAGCAGAAAAACATTTGAGGTTGACCAGATTGAGAAAACATTCAATATCACAGGAAATAAGCTATCCCTAATGCGTACAATTAACTTCGATGAACAACCATCAGTAAGTTTGACAATTAAAATGACAGATGTCAATTCAAATCAGCTCAGTGAGAAAAACTTCACCATATTCGTCCACCCTTCAAAGCAATGTGGTAACACAACGTGTGGTAAAAATGGTCGATGTATGTCAGCGAATGGATCTTTGGTCTGTGATTGTCATGATGGTTTTAAAGGCGATGGGAGAACATGTTACCCTAATGATGACTGCATACATACTGACTACCTCAATAATACGATAGCAAATCCTTGTAAAAGTGACATGAAGTGTATTGATATGGTAAATGACTTCCAATGTGATTGTTTGGAAGGCCTACAAGGAGAGCTTTGTGAAGTGGACGCAAGACCTGATAACCCATGCTTGAACTTCCCGTGTTTTAACGATGGCTTATGTATTGCAAACCAATCATCTTTGGAGAAGTTTACTTGTATCTGCACCGTCGGCTGGGAAGGATATCTCTGCACAGACAATGCAGACGATTGTGAGGACAATTTTTGTAACGGGAATGGTAAATGCATCGATGAACACAACTCATTTTATTGTGAATGCAAGGAAGGATTTGTTGGAGAATTTTGTCAAACTGTCTTTGAATCGTGCACCAATACATCTTGCAGACATAACGAGACGTGTATACCTTATATGCCCGATACAGGAGTGTATAATATCACATGTGTACACAATCAAGAGATCATTACACTTAATGTTACAGCAAATACGACTGAAGAAGATTCTCAAGACATTAACTCGGAATTCGAAACATTTTTTATGTCCCACGTCAATATGGTAGGAGAGCCTTTGGGTTTACATCGTAGGCCAAAACGTTCAACCAATCAGAATCAGAGCGAGGTTGTTATTTTCACAATCGGGTCAATGTCAGAAGATGACTATTCGCTGTTGTCTGTGATTATTTTGAACAAATATGGTCAACCATATTCTAGATCACAAGTCCTCGAAGCTATCACTACAGCGTGTTCTCGTATCAGTAAGTATACATATTTCCCGAAAGAGAAATTAGACATCCGGGTCTTATATCGCATATGTAGTGGAAGATAAATATAATATAAAATAAGAATCAATCAAAGAAAACAACTGTGGTTTAAACTAGACTAAAATACTTTTTACTTTGTTCCAGATGCTGATGTTGTAGTCGAGGACATGTTCTGTCCTGCTGTGGAAAAAGCCCTCAATGAAACAATTGCAGAATCATCACCATTGCCCTCGGTGATTCCTACTTTATATGATTCATCTATGTCTTCTGTCATATTAGAGTCATCAATTATGCCAACTTTGTCCGATCCTTCTGCGTCATTTCCATTGTCAGATAGCATATCTAAAACCTCATTATTATCGACACCTTTATCATCTCTGTCATATCAAGCTGAAACATTGATTGTATCAAACCCTTTTCAAAGCTCAAATTTGTTTCTAGATAGTACCTCGATGAGAACTCAAATTCAGCCAACTTCAATGCTTGAATCAACGTCCTCCCCTGGTCTTTCTTTAGATGCTTTAATGTCAACGACAGTTGAACTATTTACGTCATATCCTGCCTTAAGCTCATCCATATCACCAACTAAAACTTTTAATCTGACATCATCAACCTCAGTAGAAAATGGTTCTTTTTCACCAAATTTATGGAATCAAAGTATTTCATGGCATAAAACTCCTTTAATGAATATCACGTCCTTCACTCCGAACACGATGCCCTCATCTCATGTGGATGCCCTTTCAAGCGTTTCTATGACAGATTCGCTTGCTATGTCTCTGTCTCTGATGTCATCATTTGAAGCAGACATGTCATCTGCTTTTAACGGAACTGCTTTCGGTGGGGATCATTCCAAACAAAACCTCGATCCAGAAAAACACAACGCCCAGATCGGGGGAGTAGTGGGTAAGATAAAACATGTTCGCATAATTAGTCATACGAAAATGTATTTCACATAATTTGATTGCAATCTGATCTATTAATGCTTGCTTTTGATCTCACATCCAAAACCCTAGCAAAAAGAGTTACTTTGAAAAAGATAATATGATACAAATATTATTTCCCGGTCCTTTATTATATACCACGCCTTGTACAAGATATAGTATCATTTTGACACATGACAAAAATACATGGAATGAGAAGTTTGAGAGAAAAAATTCTACATTAAAATCCCGATGGCGGATTAAGTTCATATTGTTTTCATGTGAAAATAAGAATAAAGTACGATGTTCTATCCACAGATCAAAGATAGAAAATACAGTCGATTGACAATATACTTGTTTATCGTATGATCTGTAAAATGAAGCTCTCTGATTGGTCAGTTCTTGTGCTGTACCAATCTGTATTGCTACTGAGATTGTTCCCGTTGATCATCTCCGTCGCAATACAGAAAATATTGGTACGGAGGATCATACGATAAAAACGTTATTGAATGAGTTTAAGTGCAATACAGGATATATTCTGTCTCGATATTCTGTATTGGCACTCGACTTCGTCTCGTTCCAATACGGAATTTCTCGACCAGAATATATCCTGTATTGCACTTCAAATCATTCAATAACTTATAATGTGGTCAACTCAACCTTACTGCTTAATCCATTTACATTTAATATCATAGTATTGCATACTGTTCATTGCATGGATATACATTTTGCATGGATCCTTTGCTGGTATGTAATACTAATACTACTATACTGTACACAATTTGTCTGTGTATACAGTTTCGCTAAGTGCAAAGGACGATACCAAAATGTTAACCCGAAAGGGAATAAACATTTTGCTAAATGTCTTGTTTTTCAGCGGGTGTTCTTATGATCGTCTTCATTGTTGCCATTATTGTCACAATCGTTCTGTGTCGTAGGCGACACTCGGGCCAATGGGAGCCTAATCAAGGAGACAACTACGGGAATATTCTCAATAATGCAACACTAAGAACCAAGCCTCATCGAGACCCGCCTGTTGGTGGAGAGTTGTATGGTATACTAGAAGTAAGAATAATACTGTACTTTATGGCGAACTCCTATCCCATCTTGTGTTCATTGTTGTTGTCATTTACAGTGCTGAATCAGCACGCGTGTATTTTACAAGAAACAATGTTCTTTCGGCGAATTTGGCTCTGTCGGAGTGTATAATCAGAGCACTCATTTAACCTGATATTTATAATACAATAAGGTATTATGATGATAATATATTTACTTAAAAACTTTCAGTTGCCGACCTACACGTCTGGAGTTTATCACAAAAAATCAACATCAAACCTCGGTCTCCAGTCTCAAGATCGAAGCTTAAAAGACCCTAGTCCAACAACTATACCTACAAAGAACGCTAATCTAAAGCCACGTTGTGTGAGTGAATCGGAATCAGAATATAAAAGCAATTTGTCTGAGTTTTATGAATCTGACAAAGATGAACTATTTGGTTTGGAGAATATAACAGCCAATAGGTCCATTCCTCGAGGAAGACACGGTGAAAAACCCCTCTCCAATCTTAAGTTATCGCAATGGCGGGAAAACAAAGATCGCTCAATAGATGTCATCAGTGCGAGTGGCCTTGACCTCAGCCCCGAAAGGGCAGCCTTTCAAAATAGACAATCCCTGAATAAGGCGGACGATATTATTCCAAGTGATTTCCAAAATAAGGAGCACGAAAATCAAGCAAATGATAATGAATCTCGCTCTGACATTTATATAAATCAAACTTCCGTTAGGGAGGAAGATACAAATAAATGTAAAGAATGCTTATTTGAAACCTATGAGGAAAACGGGATGCCAGTTTCTTTAGTATGATCTGTTTTGTTTATAGACAGTAGTGACAATAACGAGTGTAACGTACGACCCGATGTATATGAATGATAATATTTATTAACACATAAACTATTTTATTTCTATTGTCACGATTTATGTTTTACAATTGGTTGGTCGACATTTTGATGTTTGTGCCCCCCATTGCATTTTATCCCGATAAAATCCATTAGATGTTGTGTCAGCACTTAATTTTACTGTTGTTTCTTATGAAAGGATTGAATAATTGAAGGATTTAGCGTGCATGGAAAGAAGGAAGAAGTCATGCGAAGATATTCTTGATTACTAAAGGGGAACCTCGATACGGAAAGGGGATTTCAATGTTGTACATGTAATATCATATTTTATATAATTATCAACACAAATAATAACAATTTTTAGGAATATATATGAATGGAGAATCATTTCGACTTGAAACTATTTTTAAATTGGTGCTAAATACGCTGTCAGAGAGATTTATCATGCAGAACCGATTCTGAACCGATTGTGAACCACTAAAACTGATGCATATTCAAGTTTAAGGGAATTTTGTAATACTCTGCCATGTTATTTCCCCCGAATCAGCCACCTGGTGGCGAAACCGGTAACTACCTACTCGCATCTGAGTAATTCAATGTGAACTGCTCTTATACAAGCTTGTTAGACCTCGTGAATAATGTTCTTTACTGGAAATTATCTTTATCTATAGCTCAGTAAAATCGTGTACCATTTTCTGGATGAGGTTTTCCTAAGAATAACGATGTTTAAAAAATCATTTTGATACGTTTCATTGTCCAGTATGTGTCCATGTTTTTATTAACATAATTTTATAATGCAAGTAGTATATAAGGAGAGTAACATTCTATACATGTTCATATATCTATGAGTCATTACATGTACAATTAGCGATTTACATTATGATACAATATATATATATATTTACAGCTGATGGATTTTTAAAACCTTGTGATTTAGTTTATAAATGACCACAGTCGATGTACTAAATTATGGTCCAGATATCCTTTGAAAATCAGTGTCATTTTCTTGAATCACAATACGGTTGCCATCGTCGGTATAAAGTTGAGTCCAAATGTAAATGTATCATCCTGGCCATCATACTTTATCAGTTTATCCATCATCTCATCCGGAAAGAATATCTTGAATTCCCTGGCAGTGTAATATACAAGCTTTGAACCAGTGTTGCATATTGCAGCAGCATTATTCATTATCGTGTTCAATTTATCAGGAGTTTTTTGCATGTAGATAGGAGCAGTTGAAAAGTTAATTCCATCATATTTTGAGGCATTCTTTCTTTGTGTAACATCGCAAATATATTCTGCAATGTCTGCCTGAATCCAAGTCAATCTATTGAGTCTCTCTTTTATAAATTCATAATTTCCCTCTCTTAAGTATGCGGGCAGTCGACATTTTCCACTTATGTCGCCTGTGAGCAATGCCTCCAAAAACTCATTTGTATTATTTGGGACGTGTTGTATCATTCTATCATACTGCTTCAAGAATGCCAAATTAGAATTAATATCATCGTCTAGAGGGTCCTACACCGGGGCTGCGAATTTATTACGCATGTTCGTATATTCTTTCCTCCAAGGTTTTGAATTCCAAATCTCATTGTGAAATCTAAGCTGCTCGCCCATATCATCACCCAATTCAAGGTACTGTTTGATCGTTGAGTCATCATGTATCTCAGGAAGTCTTGACTTCGAGAACTCATTGACTATTCTATCTTGCTTGCCGCAATAAAGTAAACCATCTTCAATGTAATTCAAACATTTGTCCCAATATGCTTTAGTTTCGGGTTTCAGGGCGCTTCTAATATGTTCATAAAGTTCAAGCCTCTCGCTTTTAGCGATTTTTCTCCTATTTATACCTATCAGTGTGCAAAAGTCCGACCTGGATAGAAGTTCCATTCCAGTTGCTTGTAACTTAGCCATGTGAAGTTGAGGGGCGCTGACATCTAACGCGATCACTTCTTTTGGGTCTGCAAGTAGCTTTGAAAGGGCGTGTGATCCATTGGCAGCGACGGTTAGAATTCTATCACCAGATTTGATTTTCATCAATGTATTAACTCTTTCCATATCGATATTATTCTAAAAAATCATCATTGTAATAATAAGCATCGTGTAATAACATGTCGATATTTATTCACCATTAATAAGAAAACAATAAAAATATAATCAATCAAAATATTGCCAGAAAAAATTCGAACGTCCAAGCCAGACCAAGGGCGAACGTGATACCCGGAACGTTCCTCGTTCGCAATTTCAATATATTCGGCGTTTGGCCTTGGCCGTTTACCGTATACTGTTCTATCAATCAATTAAATTAGTGGTGCGATAACGTGAATTTGATTCTGACGATGTGTCTTACCCCCCTTTGGACATGAAGTCCAGAGCTGAATATGCCAGCTCATGTTGGTGATTGGTAACCCCCCCCCCCCCTATCACACCAAACTAGTTCTTAGCCGTTCTGGCCAGTCCTACGAAAACGTCGTAAAACGAGCTCAATCTGGCTGTGGTCGGGAAATATGTTTAAAATAATTAGCTACTTCGTTCATAAACAGTCTTCAATACGTCCATCTCATTCGCAGATCGTTCAGCGCACCACGTCGGTGTGCAACGTCGTATAACGCGTCCCTTAGTCAAGAAGGTCATCATGACCTGATTACAGAACGGTATGGTCGCCATCAAATTTTGAATCGATTCAAAATTCTAAATCACATTCCCCGTCCGGAAAAGTCCATGAAGCTCGTAAACAGACCGTAGAGCGTTGTAGCTACGTTCATTCCGTTCGCACACAGTTTAAAAACAGTTTTGAAGAACGCAGTGGCAACTTGCTTGTTGTGATAGCTATATTTTTGCTAACTCGTTGATAAATACGTTCTTAATCAGTTTTAACCCGTTTGCAATTAGTTCTACCTCGTTCTCAATACGTCCTCAGACAGTTCAACTCGTTGTAAAAACGTCTCTAGTAGGATTGAAGTACGACGATTCCGTTCGTAGTACGTCCAGCTCGTCGTTAGTAGGTTATCACTCGTTCTAATTGTAGAAAATGACGACCAAGAGAACATTTTGAGCATGCTAAGTTCTAGAGGACCTATCCGTTCGAGTACGTTTGATGAAGTATGCAAATAGACCCTAAACTGTTCTAAGTACGTCCAGTCCGTTCGTACACAGTTGAAGCCCGTTTTCGAGAACGTAGTGCGAACTAGTTTGGTGTGATAGTAGGGTAAGTAAAATCAATTCATCCTTATAGCTTACAATGTAACATACTTCCTATAGTTTAGTGAATTTTGGTCACGAAATGTTGAGAAACAACAATAAAAACGAAGATTGTCCGCGTCCGTTTTGATTGTTCTGACGGGAAGCCAACGGGGTCTTCTCATTTGCGTAATCAGGTCACCTTATACCGCGCTATAGAGCTGGGTAAGGGGGGTTACACTGACTGACAGGAAACAAGTACATTTACCTGTTTATTCTGTTCGTGTTAACGGCCTTATTTACATATCATATATTTGAGTTGTAGTGGAGCCAGTTAAGGCAATAAAACCCTTGAATTGCACTTGCTATATATAAAGCACAATTTTTTGACCTAAGTGTCATTAATACATATATTTTTGATATCTGACAAAGTGGTGTTGAAAACTGGCCTCAGTTGATAATAGCAGTCCTCCGAAAATTTGCATATTTACATTGAGCTCCATGTTGATTTATCAATCTTCAAAATACCCCCTGCAGAACAGTTCTAGAGTAAGAAAGCCCATATTCCCAGGATGTTATAATAACATGACTATCTTGAAAATAAGATATTGGCGTTTCAATTTTGGAAATTCCCCATTGGCTGCCATTATAAATGCCTATCAATGTGGCTTTACTAAAGTGTCATTTTCTCAAAAATTCCACTGTAGAATTTTCTAATATTGCAGATTTCTATAGTTGATATATTGGTTTTAAAAAAATCAAACAGGTACATTTCCGAAAATTTCTTATTTTTGACATATTTAGCCGTTAAAAACTATAAAAACCTACATTAAGCCCCATGTTAATTTATCAATCTTCAAAAGGCCCCCTGCAGAACAGTTTTAGAGTAATAATGCCCATTCTCCTAGTATGTTACAATAACATGATTATGTTCAAAATAAGAAGGGTGAAACTTTTTTCTTTTACCTTGTTCCAAAGATATTTGCCTTTGAATTTTTGAAAATCCCCATTGGCTGCCATTATAAATGCCTATCAAAATGGCTTTACTAAAGTGTCCTTTTCTCAAAAGTTCCACTGTGGAATTTTCTTATATTGCAGATTTCTATAGTTGATATATTGGTTTTAAAAAAATCAAACAGGTACATTTCTGAAAATTTCTTATTGTTGACATATTTAGCCGTTAAAAACTATCAAAACCTATATTGAGCCCCATGTTAATTTTTCAATCTTCAAAAGGCCCCCCTGCAGAACAGTTCAAGAGTAATAATGCCCATTCTCCTAGTATGTTACAATAACATGATTATGTTCAAAATAAGAAGGGTGAAAGTTTTTTCTTTTACCTTGTTCGAAAGATATTTGCTTTTGAATTTTTGAAAAACGCCATTGGCTGCCATTATAAACCGCTATCAATATGGCTTTACTAACACCTGAATCACATTTGTCGCACAGTGGCCACAAGTCAACCGCAGAACAATTAAATCGGTGAATTTCTGCGGCGAGCGTAGAAAAACTACGCTCGCCTTGCGGCCTCCGTAATGGCGAATGCAGATTTTTACAGGCCGCAGGGAAGGCGTAGAAAATATAACTCGGAGTTATAATATTTTTTCATTTCTGAGGTCCCCCGTAGAAATCAACTGGCTCAACAAGATTGAATCATTATTTGTCAATGCTTCACGATCACTTTTCATTTGATATTACATCCTAGCACTATGAACAACATTTATAAATTGTCCTGATGTAAATAAAATGAAAAAAGTATTATTTATCAACAGAAATTTAAAATTCACCGTGCGGCTGCCGTGGGAAATGTGACTGCAAAAGTATGAGAGCGCAGAAATTCTGCGGCGAGCGTAGAAAAGCAACTGGCCGCAGAAATGATAGACCGCAAGGTCGCCGTAGGAAATGTGACTGGGGTGTAAAAGTGTCATTTTCTCAAAAAGTGCACTGTGAAATTTTCTAATATTGCAGATTTCTATAGTCAATATATTGATTTTAAAAAAATCAAGCAGGTACATTTCTGAAAATTTCTTATTTTTGATTGAGGCATTAAACCCTATAAAAACCTATATTGAGCCCCCTGTTTTACTAAAGTGTCCTTTTCTCAGAGAGTTTACTGTGGAATTTTCTAATATTGCAGATTTGTATAGTTATATATTGATTCTAAAAAAATCAAACAGTCATATTTCTGAAAATTTCTTATTTTTAATAATATTTCATTAAGTTGAACATATGATAAATTAACACGAGACACAATATAGTTTTTTTTTATAGTTTTTGACGGCTAAATACATTAAAAATAAAAAAAATCAGAAATGTGCCTGTTTGATTTTTCTAAAATCAACATATTAAGTATAGAAATATACAATATTAGAAAATTCCATTGTGGACGTTTTGAGAAAGGGAAACTTTAGGAAAGCCACTTTCCATAGCCGTTTATAATGGCAGCCAATTGGATTTTTCCAAAATTCAAACGTCAATATATTTGGAACTGGGTAAAAGAAAAAATTTAACCCTTCTTATTTTGAAGATAATCATGTTATTGTAAAGTACGAGGAGAATGGTGATTTTTACTCTAAAACTGTTTTGCAAGGGGGCTTTTGAACATTGATAAATTAACATGGGGCTCAATATAGGTTTTGATAGTTTTTAACGGCAAAATATGTCAAAAATAAGAAATTTTCAGAAATGTACCTGTTTGATTTTTTTAATAACAATATATCAACTATAGAAATCTGCAATATTAGAAAATTTCACAGTGGGCTTTTTGAGAAAATGACACTTTAGCAAAGCCATATTGATATGCGTTTATAATGGCAGCCAATTGGGAATTTCTAAAAATTCAAACCCCAATATCTTTGGAAGTAGGTAAAAGAAAAAAATTAACCCTTCTTATTTTGAACATAATCATGTTATTGTAAAGTACTAAGAGAATGGTGATTTTTACTCTAAAACTGTTCTGCAGGGGGTATTTTGAAGATAGATAAATTAACATGGGGCTCTATATAGTTTTTTTCTAATTCTAACGTTTAAATATATCAAAAATAAGAAATTTTTAGAAATGTACCTGTTTGATTGTTTTAAATCACTATATTAACTTTAGAAATCTGCAATGTTAGAAAATTTCACAGTGATTTTTTGAGATGACACTTAAGCAAAGCCATATTGATATGCGTTTATAATGGCATCCAATGGGGAATATCCAAAATTCAAACGACAATTTCTTTGGAAGTAGGTAAAAGAAAACATTTAACCCTTCTTATTTTGAAGATAATCATGTTATTGTATCATTCTAGGAGAATGGTGATCTTTACTCTAAAACTGTTCTGCAGGGGGTCTTTTGAACATTGATAAATTAACATGGGGCTCAATATAGTTTTTTTTACAATTTTAACGGTTAAATATATCAAAAATAAGAAATTTTTAGAAATGTACCTGTTTGATTTTTTTTAAATCACTATATTAACTATAGAAATCTGCAATATTAGAAAATTTCACAGTGGACTTTTTGAGAAAAGGACACTTTAGTTAAGATATATTGATAGCCGTATATAATAAACAGTCTTCAATACGTCCAAAATTCAAACGTCAATAACTTTGGAACTAGGTAAAATAAAAAATTTAACCCTTCTTATTTTGAAGATAATCATGTTATTGTAATATTCTTGGAGAATAGGCAATATCACTCTAAAACTGTTCTGCGGGGGGTCTTTTGAAGATTGATAAATTAACATAGAGCTCAATGTAAATGAGCAAAATTTTGGAGGCCTGCTATTTTCAACTAGGGCAACTTTTCAACACCACTTCGTTAGATATCAAAAATATATGTATTAATGATGATTGTGTCAAAAAATGGTGCTCTATATATAGCAAGTGCAATTAAACAGCTAAC